AGGTAGAACTTTGTATTGCTCTTTCTTTCTTCATATAGTATGTCCTTCTATTGAAATATATTTGACATATAACATTGTGTAAGCTTATGGCATAGTACATGTTGATTTGATACATTTGGATATTGCAATATAATTGCCATTGTAGGATTAGTTAACACCTCTATCGCATCACATAATTATCATTTTTTTTTTGTGGTGGGAATAATTAAGATCTAGCCTCTAAGCAAGTTTGACATTTATATCCATATTGTATTTTTTAAACTGCCTTTGATGCCAGATCTCATACCCTGTGTCTGGAGCTGCACAGTTTCTGTATTTGTCATTGAATTTGGAGTGGCGGGAACAGTGTATTTTAGTCTCCTATAAGGAACATTCCCGTTCCCCCTAAGAGAAATCCGTCTCCCCAGTTCCCTTCAAAAACGTGAGCTGACGCCTCACACACAGCCCAACAGGTAATTCCTTGGGAGAAGCATAGTGTAACTGGCCGCTCTTATGTTCTTAGGGTGGGTTTTCTTGCCCCAGAGTAGTCTGATTTAAGCTGAAGGGAAACGGAAGCTGAGAGATCAGTTGTCTGGAGACTCCAGGCTTCTTAGAGCACATATTCCATAGCAGAGACCTCTGGGCTGCTTGGCGTAGATATGGCAACCTGAACTTGGCCCCCGTCTCAGAGCGCATATGGTGTTCCAAGTCAAGATCACACACAGCAATGTACCATACTGTGCATGGGGAAAACATTTATGGGATAATAAATGTGAGCAAAGCGTGTTTGTGCTCTGTGCATAATTGGCAGTAGACTATGTAGATGAACTGATTTCTTATTTTCCCTTTTTGTGAGCTGTGGCCAAATGCCCTCTCCGACATGGCTAGGAGAAAATAGTCTTCAACTCCAGGGCAGGGGATGAGCCCCAGGGGAAGAGGTCACTGTCAGCTGGCTTAGAACAAATGCTTGTAAAGGACACAGGGAATTCCATGTGTGGTCTGGCTGAACAATGAACACAGAATTTTTTTCCCTCTAAAAACCGATGTTACGGTTTTTTTTAAATAGGGAGGGTAGATCAACCCTGTGAAATAGGCTTTATGTAGACCCTTGCAAGCACCAAGAAGAAAGTTAGCATGCTATGACCATTGTCTTGGCAAATATGGAAAAAATCCAGGGGAAATTGCCTAATTCAGATAAACTTCTGTGTTTGAGATGTCCGTCTCATTGTTCAGGGGTTTTTAGACAGAGAATTCAGAAAGTACATTTTCTGCATTAGATACCATGTGATCATCCCGATGTTACTGCAACATCATTACATTGTTATCGTGTCTTTATTGTTAAAGAGCTCATATATAGAACAATAAAGAAAAACCTCAAAAACTAAATTCCAAAGGTTAGATTTTTAAAATTTCACCTTTTAGTAACTGTTGTACAAGTATATCAGTAGAGAGGCAGATTTATTGACTAAAAGAAATATTGGTGTTTGAGCATAAATTTGTACATTTGTTGTGTAAATTTTTAAATAAAATTTAAAAGTGAGGTTGCATTTCTTTTTGTGAAAGAAATCTCTTGTAGTTTTCCTGCCCGCTTGCTATTGTTATGTAGTGGGTAGATTTCTCCTCGCATTCTTTTTGCATTATTGTAACAGACAAGCCTAAGACACTGTCTAATGTTAATTCTACACACTCCTGCCAATTATAATCAGAGCTAGTCAAAATAAACAAATTAAACAAATAAACATGTCAAAACATCTCTGAGTTAGCGAAAATAAGCCAAGTCTGAACTTTCCCAGTGTTTCGGCATAAATGATGGGCTGTGGGTTGTAAAACGCTCCATAACATTTTTTCACCTTTGCTAGGGGGAAGGTGGGTCAGTTTAGAATTACAGTGCAGCTCAACTTTGAGAAAGGGGTCTGTGACTGAAACCAAATCAAACCCAAATGTTGCTGGCTTCACCTAGGGTAGTAATGATCTGCCGCATGTTCTAAATGCTTTAAAAAAGGAAGAAGGAAAGAAAGGAAAAGCAGTTGATTCTTTGCTGATGTGATGCCAGAACCCCTAAATCACCAGAGAGGTTGAACACAATGCAGGTGAAAATATACCAAAGGCGGATGTACATTTCAATATGAAACATACTGTCACTGTGACATTTCCCAATCAGCACATTTAAAATACTAGGCAATTAAGTAAGAAAGCTCTATTGGCTTCAAGAAAGAACATAAAACATGACTTCGCTACCCAAGTAGGATATCTTGGCCAGAGCTATGCTTAAATAATGAGGGGTATGAGGTAGAAGAGCGTGTGTGTGTGTGTGTGTGTGTGTGTGTTGCTATGTTAACCTATAAAAATATGGAGAGAGGTTAGTGGAGAAGGCTGTCACTCTGGCAGGTGGTTCTCGTAAAAACGTGATCTCTTGAAGTTCAAGAAATTTAAACATATCTACACGCACTCCTGGGCAGCATGCCACAAAGCAGGTGATTCGTGCGAACCCCTCAGTGTTCTTTATTCAACGAATATCGATCCGGCACCAACTCCACGTGGGGCGCAGGGCAACGAAGATGAGCAGGGCTCAGTCTGTGCCTTCGAGGAATGCCCTTGGTCCCCACGGGGAAGCTGAAATATTGGGTTTCAGGGGGAAGTCAGGAATGGGCAGCGAGGAAGAGCAAGGGAGACCAGGCTCTGACATCTCTCACTGTTCTAGCTTCACCTTTCATTTGTCGGGGAAGAGGATTCAGGTAAGGTTATACTCCAAGGAGAGGGGCTTTGCACCGGAGTGAGAGGAATGACATTGGAAAGGGACGGGCGGTGGAAATCATTGTGCCTTTGAAATGTTGTTTTCTGAGGACAGTATATAGATTCTTGGTTATTAACAACCTCTCACAAGACAGTTATTTTTGGAGTGGCCTCTTAGGACGCAACCTCTTGGAAGTGAACTCATTTATTTTGCGTCTCACTGTCCTGCCATTTCCTGCGGAGAGAGGGGGAAAAGTGAAACCACATGTTTTGAGGAGCGAATGGAGGAAATCCCTCCGAAGACAAATGACGACTCCTCTCCCCTGGCAATTAGTCAAACCTGGGCTTCAGGCCAGCCCAGGTGTTCCCGACTGTGTATAAATTTGCCAAAGAACAATGAAAATAGCAGCTGATTGTGCTGACAGATTCTTCTGGTAATTTCCTGTTGTTTGGCATCTTCACGTTACTTTCCCACAATTATGGCTGCTGATGAAGTCTGGGGCCATTAGAAGCAATTTTCTAACTCTCTCCTTGCCCCTTTCTGTCATCCCAGCAGCAAGCAGCCTCTTACCCCCAAACTAAAAGAAATGAAACAATCAGAATCTGAAGCTAAGTTAAAAAAATATTTCAGAGTTGTAGCTATTTTCTCCCCTTTCCCAGATGTTTGAATTTAATCCCCTTGCAAAATACATACTTTAATGAGTCTGAATTTAAAAGAGGGGAAAAATGATTTGCACCTGCATCATATAGAGTTTCTTGGCAACTGTAAGCTGGGATTCAGGTTCCTTCAGATTCTCCAACGTACAAGTTGGAAGCTTTCCTTGTGTTGTCCATGAGTATCTAATCTCGATGAAGTGGGGTCAGCTGGTCCTGCTGCTGAAAGGGATTGGACTCCAGCCCAGCACTGACCAAAAGGGGCAACCCCAAATGGGATTGGGCGCCATTTTGATGGCCCCTGTCTAAACAAGCGCCTCTGCTCACCTACTGCCCCTGTACCACCCCCCTCCCCACCCCGTTCCCACTCCCCAGTTTAAGAAAGTGAAACTACTGTGATGGGTGGGTGGAAGTTATATTTGCACCCAAAGCATTTGGGGGTGAAACGAAAATAAGGGGAATGCCACAATTATCCAATCTGTCAGGAAGCTATGCATATTTTCTTGGTTAGAGCAACTATGTAAAAGACTTTTTTTTTTTTTCTTGGAGGGTCTGGGGAGCTGCAGCTATTGTTGAGAAGCTGCCAAGAAGCTGGTTTCTTTCTCTTCACTTCTCCCTTTCCTGGCCCCTCAAACCCCCAGAGGAGAGAGTAAACGTGAATGCTACAATGTGGGTTTGCAAAAGAGTTGCTTAGGATATATTAGACTAGAGCATAATGTATTGAATTTTTCTAAACAGGGCTCCATGTCCCCTATTAATCAGGACCTCTAGTCAGGAGAATTGCAAACCAAATAAAAAACTCCAGGATAATCCATAGCATTTGAGAAGAGGGTAAATCTCAGAACCTATCACATCTGAAAAATGTTTTTGAGATTGGCTTTGAAATAACTGTCAGTCTACTCTGTTCTGGATATACTTCCAGTAGAAAGACTGCATTTCTTTTTGTTTGAAGGTGAGAATGGTGGGAAAAACTCATTAAAGTCCAAAAGCAACTGGGAGACTTTTTTTCTAGATTCCCAGACTCCTAAAAATAATAACAAAACATCCAGGTGAAGGTAGAGTAGGAGGGTGTCCGAAATGATATGAGACATGGGGAATGCTGGTTATTTGGGTCCTTTCCATAACCCTTCCATCCCCACTCACGTACTCTATTGTCATATGCGTGGGGTGTTGATAAAAGACGCTAGTTAGGTTTTTAGAATAATACCTTTAATTTAGATTGCTATTCTCTTCAATAGGAACGCTCTTCATTCATTCATTTTTATCCATTAATCTTTATTCACTAGTTTATGTTCCATATGTTGGATATACTTCGAAGCATTTTGCCTATTCTATTGACCATAGGCTAGTCTCCTCTCTCCCTTTATCGAAATGCTACTCACCCTAAGGGTCCAAGCCAAATAGCACATCCTCCGTGCAATCCTCCTTTCTTTACCTTCTGGTCCTGATGAATCTTCCTTTTCTCTATCTACAGCACACATGCATTCACTCAAACATATTGAGGGAACACTTCAACAGTGCATTGTGCTGGAGGGAGGGAACACTGTGTGGATGAACACAATCATGGTTCCCGCCTGTCGGATCTTGAATTAGAATGGAGGCCCACCAGCCAGTCAGAAAATTAGGTACAATATGGTATGCTAAACCCTGTGACGTGGGAGGCTGTGGAGCAAGGAACGCGGCCCTGATGGGTAATGATGTTTAAGCCGAGACTTGAAGGATGGGCAAGTAGCCAGGCAACTGGGTGTGCGTAAATGCTCCTGGCAGAGGGAACAGCATGAGCAGCGTGGCATGCTGGGAGAGGAGCACAGGAGCACGGAGTGACTTCGGGAACAGTGCAAACTTCCGGGCCACCCACGGAGGACAAGGAGGGAGGAGAGTGGTGAGAAACAAGGCCCAGAGGTGAGCAGAGGCTCAATCCTGAACGGCCTTTAAAACCAAGTGAGGAATGTGGACTTTCTCTGGAGGGGGAGCTGGGAGATGCTTGAAGCAAGGAGGGGACATGATTTGATTTGTGTTCTGAAAGCTGTCCCCGCCTGTGTTTTGGACAGTTGATTGGGGGCTGAGGCAGTAAAGGTGAAGCTTGTCTTAAATGGAAGTCACCTAATTTTGTGCTCAGTTACACATGGTTTGCTTTCTTTCATGGTCTGTTTGTATCAGCCTTTACCCTTTAGCCTGATGACAAGCACCTGGAGACAAGGCACCACATTCTATCCCTCTGTGCACAATGGATAGTAGATGCTCAGTAAATGCAAATGGCGGTCGGATTGGATTTGTATGCTGCTTTCTTTTCTGTTTGCCATTCCGACATTTATGATAGCACAATAGCCCTCCAGTGGCCAATAAACGGAGGGAGACTTTCTGGGTGAGTCTCATGACAGCAATTTCTGAACCTCGACTTACCAAGACAAAATTCATGCTTGCCTTCCTGCTTCCTTAATTCCCAGGAGAGAACAGTTGTGATTTTATGTGCCGTATGTGGTTCCCAATATTAAAAGTCGAAGTGCTTTTGCTAAAAACGCTGGACAAAGTCCTCTTGAAAGAAAGCGGGGCTGCTCAGCTTGGGCAGGAGGAGAGTGCGAGGACTGTTTGAAAGACCACGGAGCCAGAGATCCGTGGTTAATTCTCCTGTACTTCCCTGGAAAAGTGGCTCCCCACCACCACCCACCAGGCACATTCCTCGGTGTCCACCAGGGAACCTGACCCCGTTAGCACGGAGTATTTATGACCCACATTTGCCAGTGATTATAGTCACAGTCAAATGAGTACAACTCTGAATGCAATGGTGTGTGTGTGGGGGGGTGCACGCGCGTGCACGTCAGGGGCAGGTTGGCTAAGGAAGAGAGAGTATTCTTGAAGCAAATATAGTGTCTCTTTTAAGTTGTGTCCCCTCATAGCAAATTGGAAATTTTGGTGATAGACTTACTAAAGGATGCGGAGGCAAAGAGTGGAGTAACTGAGAGGAGCGGTTCCCAGGCGAGGACACTGATGGGCAGAGAGTGTTTGTCTTGGGCCACACATTGAGCCAGCATAGCTGCACCTGAAACATAGCCTCTTGGCTCCCAGTTCAGTGGCCTCTCCATGGTGCCCCAGGGCTTTTGCTCCATGTGTTTATTACCTTCATACAGTGCTGGTTTGAAACCGAGCCTCAGGGTTTTTCTCCTTATCTAGACATTCCCTCTTTCCCCCACTTCCTTGCCATCTCCCTGGGCACCTAAAGCTGCTTATCTCCACGGCAGGGGTGCAGGTAATGCTTGCTTTCTGTGGTTGTTCCTCCTGTAGTCGCTTGACCAGGAGCTCAGATCAGGAGCCCAGATTTCAACTGTGGGGAGCCTGGGACATTTGTTTCTTTGCCAACTCTCAAAGCTTGCACTCTGGTTTTCCTGACGACCTCTTCCCCCACTCTCGGTAGCTCCTTGGGTAACCTGTCTTAACTCCCGTCTGTCATTACAGGCTGGTAGCTGTGCTTCCCAATCTTCTTTCATTAATTGGCCACATTCACAAATTTTGCAGTAGCTGTACACATATTGAATGCAATTAGGTCAACTAATTGTTGTTGTTGTTGTTTTAGCTAAGAACATTATTTTAAAACTTTATAGCAAGGCACCTGGGTGGCTCAGTCATTAAGCGTCTGCCTTCGGCTCAGGTCATGATCCCAGGGTCCTGGGATTGAGCCCCGCATCCGGCTCCCCGCTCAGCGGGAAGCCTGCTTCTCCCTCTCCCACTCCCCCTGCTTGTGTTCCCCCTCTCTTGCTGTGTCTTTCTTTGTCAAATAAATAAATAAAATCTTAAAAAAAAACTTTATAGCAGGACTATCAATACATAACCAATATCATTGGCCAATAGAAAAATGAAAACGAATGATGCTATTAAGTTCCAGCTAGACTCACTTGCATGCCGAAGGCTGTAAAGTCGATCCCTGCTCTTTTTTTGTTAAAAAAGGTGATTCGCTAAAATCACAATGAGCTATCACCTCACACCTGTTAGAATGGCTATTACCAAGAAGACAAGAGGTAACAAGTGTTGGCCAGGAGGGGGAGAAAAGGGAACCCTCATGCGCTGTTGGTGGGAATGCAAGCTGGTGCAGCCACTGTGCAAAACAATATGGAGGTTCCTTACAAAATTAACACTAGAGCTGCCCTACAATCCAGCAATTCCACTTCTGGGAAGGTACCCGAAGGAAACAAAGACACCATGTAGAAGAGACATCTGCACCCCCATGTTCACAGCAGCATTATTTACAATAACCAAGACATGGAAACTACCTAAGTGTCCATTGTTGGATGAATGGATAAAGAAGTTGTGGTGTATATATATACATTTAGCCATAAAAAGGAAGAACCCGCTGCCATCTGTGACAACAGGGATGTGCCTTGAGGGCATTACACTAAGTGAAATAAGTTGGACAGATAAAGGCAAGTACTAGAATCTAGAAAAAACACTAAAACAAAAAAATCTTCAAAAAAGCTGAGCTCATAGAAAAAGATCAGATTTGTAGTTACCAGAGGTAGCAGGGTTGGGGGGGGGAATTGGAGCAAGGTGGTCAAGAGGTACTTCCGGTTATAAATAAGTACCAGGGATGTAACGTATGACAGGATGACTGTAGCTAACACTGCTGTGTGGTATATTTGTAAGTTGTTAACAGAGTAGATCCTAAGAGTTCCCATCATAAGGAAAAACACATTTTTCTTCTTCTTTTTTTGTATTTTTTATGAGATGATGGAGGTTAACTAAACTCATCGTGGCAATCATTTCACAACATACTAAAGCAAACCATCATGCCGTGTACCTTAAACTTCTGCAGTATTGTATATCTCAATAAAACTGAGGGAAAGGATGATTAGCAAGTGGTAGAGGGGCTGTAAAAGCAGGCTTTTATTTTATTCATTTTTAAAAGATTTTTATTTATTCATCTATTTTAGAAACAGAGAGAGAGCAGGGTGAGGGAGAGAGTGTGAGGGAGAGAATCTCAAGTAGACTCCCTGCTGAGCACGGAGGCTGACATGGGGCTCAATCTCACGACCCTGAGATCATGACCTGAGATTGCGACCTGAGCTGAAACCAAGAGTTGGATGCTTAACTGACTGAGCCACCCAGGCGCCCCAAAGCAGACTTTTAAATGATAAATGATAAAACAATGCCTGGCAAAGTAAATATATAATAAAGGTGAACTCTTGTTATTGTTAGGAGAATGATTTCAAGGGAAAAAGAGAACCACTCCAAGATGTTCCAGAATCCCTTCAGTCACAGTGTCCTGTGGATTGTAAACCTGATGCTAAAGGAATTCAAATCAAGGGAAAGATCTCTGAGGACTGGTATTGTCAGGGAAAGAATTGTCATAACGTCCTTGCATTTCTAGCATGCCATATTTCCCCCTCAGTTTTTGAAATTATATTCCATTTATGGTTTTGGGAAATAAGAGTAGGATTCATCACCAGAAGAAGAAAAATCATAAGAATACTGGCATCTCTATCCTGCTGAATTATTTATTGTTTTTTGCTGAGGAGCAGACTGCGTGCTTCTTGCCCTGCTATAGATGGATTGGATTTGATTCTGTCCCCATGCAGTCTGGTGAGCTTATTCTAATAAGAACAACTTAATATTGCAACTATACAGTAAAGCTTTTGTGTCCCTCTAGGACATTCCACGCTACATGCTCTGAGCTAACCCTGTTCTCCTGATTATTTTGGATGAGGAAACTGAGTTATCTTCCTAGCTTACAGGAGTAATCTTAGAATTGACATTTAAATCCAGTCAGTGTGTGTGTGTGTGTGTGTGTGTGGGTGGGTGGGTGGGTGCCAGACACCATGCTAGGCACCTTCGCGTCTGTTATTACAATTAGTCTTCAAAATAATCTTATGAGGTAGGCATTATTACTATAAACTTATTTAAAAAATAAGAAAGCCGAGGAGAGGTTAAGTAACTTGACCAGGGTCACCAAGTAGCAGATATTAGGAAACAAGATGTCCGGCTGATTCCTGACTCACCCGTTTCCAGCGTGCTGTGTCGCTAGAGACTGCATTGGTCGGCAACTATCTGTCTGCCTTTCTTCCGCCCTTCTACTTTTCCTCCTCTTCTCTCTCTCTCACTCTCTCTCTCTTTCTCTTCCCTCCTTTTCTCCTTCCTTCCCTGATCCTTCCCTTCTTCCTGCTCCTGTCTCTCCCTCCCTCCCCTCCCTCCTCTCCTTCCTTCCTTTCTTCCTTCCTTCCCTCCTTCCTTCACTCCTTCCTTCCTTTCTTCCTTCCTTCCTTCCCTCCTTCCTTCCTTGCTTCCTTCCTTCCTTCCTTTTCTGTAATTTTTTTTGTAGATTACTGTTTCTCAGCTACAGGGTAAAGTAGCAGGGACATCGGATACAATTAATCAAGTTTGTACTGTTGACTATTCAACTAACTGTGGAAAATAGAGAAGAAGTCTGAGTCCTCATTACTGTGCCAGCACGAGGTAGGCACTATACATACACGTTCCAGACCCATTCCAAAGAGCAGTTCTCTGTGCTAGGCATTCTCATGCCCACATTGCAGGCGGGGAAGGGAGTCTTCAAGGGGCTCTGACTTGCCCTCTGGTTGTATAGCTACAGTGCATGGTGGAGTCAGAATCTGAAGACACATCTTCCTGACTCCACATCCAATCTTTTCTTGGTTACATTATTTTTTTCCTAAACACTAGTTTTGGTCAGAATTTGGACTATAAGACAGGCATATTTAAGATTATTTAAGAAGAGGCATGGGGGTGTTGCTTAATGGCAAAAATGAGACACTTCAAGCGCTGGGATCTGAGCAATTCCTCCCTCATTGGTACCGGATGACCGAAATGATGGAGATGATGTAAAGATCAGGCAGAACATCTCAGCCCTGACTAAGTCCTGCGGGCTGATCAGTGAGAGCCACTGCATCCCGCCTGCCTTGTGCTGGCTGGTTTGGGACTGGGATTTCCTTCACCACTGACCTCCCATCTTCCCTTATGAGGATAAGATGCTGTTTACTTTCCATCCTAAATGATTGTGGTTCTGTGAGCTGTTCAGAAGTCAACATGTTCCAGGCTCCCATCTTAATGTCATGGGGATTAAAACTAAACAAAGCAAGCAAGCATTTGACAATAAATGAGTCTATTGGAAGTGAGTAGTGAGTGCAGAAGGGAGTGTGTGTTTCTTGCTTGTTTATTGACTCTGGTATTTTGGGCAAGTCTTTAAACTTTGGTTTGCCTCTGTTGAGCCCGCCATAAAATGGGAGATGATAGTAGCACGTGTCTCTTAACACTCAGAGGTGGTGAGAGGTTAATTACTTAATGCCTCAAAAATTCTTCAGGCTTCATGGCCAGGACCAGAAATTGGAATGGTTTTCTTTCCAGACCTTATCAAGAATTCTCTCCTGCTCTCTGAGGCTCAAATCCTAGTGAGGAGCGGAAGAAACAAAAAAGGAGGGTGAAAAAGAATTGGAACAGGAGAGGTTCATAGGAAGCTGTGTTCAGGAATGTTTTGCATTCTCTTAGATAAAGAGAAGTATCCAAAAGAAGATGCTCTTACTCTGCAAACTTCTCTGCTTGAATTACTGCTCTTTGGAGAGAAGTAGAGAAACTGTGTAAATTTTTTGAATGGGAGTGCATCCATGATCTGGGGTGAACAGTGAATTTACGTTTGTAAATCTTTGAGTCTTCAGAGTAGACCCAGGTGCTCCCCATCTCACTGTGCCTCCCTCCCCCCTCATGTCATTTCTGGTGAGGGCTGGGATATAGGCCACACCTGAAGGGCAGAGCACCATCAGCCCACTGGGTAAATGCCTGGATATTATGGAGAGATTTCGACTTTGTTCTGTGGGACAGTTTTTCACTTTCTGACAAGATCAGATCTACAACAGACTCCTGAAGCCAAGGTCCATCTCTGCACGGCCTCCCATATTGTCCCCAGATTTCTACCCAGCCTGGCAACTGAAGGGTAAGGCAGAAAAGAGAGCTGGATGCATTACCTTCTCTAATCAAAGGGAAAAATATTTTGCTCTGAAGTTTTTGACAGTTTTTCAGAGGGAATCAACAGCACTTTTATCACAGGACCCTATAAAGCCCCAGGTTTATTCCATTTTAATCTCTTTCGCAAAGGACTCCAATCAACCTTTGCTTTATTATAGGATATAAGACAACACAGCAAAGACACTTAGATACCCTTCCTCACCACGGTTTTGCCAAGGTGTTAAATACCTTCACATTAAGGAAGTTTTGGCAAAATAATTTTATATCTCTGCTATTTATACCATATGAAAATCTGAGTTCTCACATGGCCAGATTTTTCCTTATGACCAAGAGCATTTCTTTTCTGTCCCTCTGTGGGTCCATGGACAGTGCATTAGAGGGTGAATGAGTGAGGTTTATGGGAGTGGTGGCGATGGGGGGATCACATGGCTGACCCAGTATAGTGTTCCTAGGTTCCCATTATATACTGGATATAGAGCTTCCGTCTGGCAGCTACAGAGCAAAAGGTTTTTCTCCCTGGCAGAAGGACAGGTTTATCAAGCTACTTTTTATTTTTTTAAAGTAACATAGAAACCTTTTTCTCCCCCGCCCACCCACACTGAAGCTCTTTTTAAGAATTATTATGTTTCAGGTGTACAACATTATAATTCAGCATCTGTATGCACTACAAAGTATACAAGTCTATAGATACCATCCATCACACTACAATTGACCCCCTTCACCCCTTTGTCCATCCCTCAACTTTGCTACCCGCTGGTAACCACTGATCTGTTCTCCGTATCTATGAATTTGTTTTTGTTTTATTTGTTCATCTATTTTGTTTGGTTTTTAGATTTCACATATGAGTGAAATTGTACAGTATTCGTCTTTCTTCTGACTTATTTCACTTAACATAATATCCTCAAGTTCCATGTATGTTGTCAAAAATGACAAGATCTCATTCTTTTTTATAGCTGAGTAATATTCCACTGTGTGTGTGTCTATATATATATGCCATTATCCATTTATCCATTGATGGACATTTAGATGATGTACAGAAGTTTAGTAGTACGGAAGCTTATTACTGAAACGAATTAAGTTTGATGTACGGAAGCTTATTAGTTGGACGTAGTCTCATTTGTTTATTTTTGCTTTTCTTTCCATTGCCTTCGGAGTTGAATCCACAAAAACACTGCTAAGACCAATGTCAAGGAGCTTACCATCTATGTTTTCTTCTAGGAATTTATGGTTTCAGATCTTACAGTTAAGTCTTTAATTCATATTGAATTAATTTTTTTAAAGATTTATTTATTTGAGAGAAAGAGAGAGAGTGGGTGGGGGGAGAGGGACAGAGGGAGAGGTAGAGAGAATCTCAAGCAGACTCCCACTGAGCATGGAGCCCAACACAGGACTCAATCCCATGACCCTAAGATCATGACTTGAGCCTAAATCAGGAGTTGGCCACTTAACTGACCGAGCCACCCAGGCGTCCCTTTATTGAGTTAATTTTTGTGCATGGTTTAGCATAGTGGTTTAGTTTCACTCTTTTGCATATAGCTGACCAGTTTTCCCAACACCATTTGTTGAAATGACTGTCATTTCCTTATTGTATGTTCCTGGCTCCTTTGTTGTACATTAACTGTCCATGTATGTGTGGGTTTATTTCTGGGCTCTCAATTCTATTTCATTGATCGGTGTGTCTGTTTTTGTGCCAGTACCACTGTTTTGATTACTATAGCTTTGTAGGATAGTTTGAAATCATACGCATGGTACTTCTAGCTTTGTTCTTTTTCAAGATTTCTTTGACTATTCAGGATCTTTTGTGGTTCCATACAAATTTTAGAATTATTTGTTCTATTTCTGTGAAATATGCCATTGGACTTTTGATAGGGATTGCATTGCATCTGTAGATTGCTTTGGGTAGTGTGGACATTTTAAAAATATTAATTCTTCCAATCCATGAAGACAGAATATCTTTTCATTCATTTGTGTCTTTCTCAATTTCTTTCATTAGTGTCATAGTTTTCAGTGAATAGGTCTTTCACCATCCTTGGTTAAATTTATTTCTAGGTATTTTATTCTTTTTGATGCAGTTATAATTGAGATTGTTTTCTCAACTTCTCTTTCTGATAGTTTGTTATTGGTGTATAGAAATGCTACAGATTTCTGTATACTGATTTTGTATCCTGTGACTTTACTGAGTTTACTTATTAGTTCTGACAGTTTTTTTTTTTCTTTTTGGTGGAATTTTTAGTGTTTTCTATATATAATATCATGTCAAATGCAAATAGTTACTGTTTTATTTCTTCCCTTTTGATTTGTATACCATTTATTTCTTTTTCTCGCCTAATTGCTATGACTAGGACTTCCAATACTATGTTGAATAAAAGTGGGCATTTTTCTCTTTTTCCCGATCTGAGAGAGAAAGCTGAAAACTTTCCCCCATTGAGTATGATGTTAGCTGGGGGTTGGTCATTTATGGCCTTTATTATGTTGAGGTAAGTTTGCTCTATACCCACTTTTTTGAGAATTTTCATCATAAATAGATGTTGAATTTTACTGAGTGCTTTTTCTTTATCTATTTTGGGGTGATCATATGATTTTTATTTTGTATTTTGTAAATGTGGTGTATCATGTTGGTTGATTTGTGGATATTGAACCATCCTTGAGTCCCTGGAATAAATCCCACTTGATCATGGCCTATGATCCTTTTAATGTATTGTTTAATTTGGTTTGCTAATATTTCATTGAGGATTTTTATGTTAATCAAGGATAGTGGTCTGTAATTTTCTGTTTTTATGTTGTCCTTGTCTGATTTTGGTGTCAGAGTAATACTAGCCTCATAAAATGTGTTTGGGAACATTCCCTCCCCTTCAATTTTTTCTAAGAGTTTGAGAGAATAGGCATTAAATCTACTTTGAATGTTTGAAAGAATTCACCAGTGAAGTTGTCTGGTCCTGGGCCTTTGATTGTTGGGAGATTTTTAATTATTGATTTGATGTTCTTACTAGTAATTGGTCTATTCAGATTTTCTACTTTTCCCTCATTCAGTCTTGGAATATTGTATGTTTCTAGGAGTTTAACCATTTCTTCTAGGTTGTCCAATTTGTTGGCATATAGTTGTTCACAGTAGTCTCTTAGCACCCTTTGCGTTTCTGTGGTATCAGTTGTAACTTCTCTTTCATTTCTAATTTTATTTATTTGAACCTTCTTTCTTTTTTTCTTGGTGAGTCTAGATAAAGGTTTGTCAATTTGGTTATCTTTTCAGAAAACCAGTTCTTTGTTTCATTGAGCCTTTCTATTGTCTTTATAGTCTCTATTTCATTTATTTCTGCTTAATCTTTATTATTTTCTTCCTTCTACTAATGTTGGGCTTTGTTCTTTTTGTCTAGTTCCTTTGGTCATTAAGTTAGATTATTTGAGATTTTTCTTTTCACAGAAACCTTAAAGATCCCCATGGGAAGTCAAAGACTGCCGCTTACAGGATCCACTTAAGGAGAAGTTTCCCCCTTGTCCTAAGCCTTGTGGGTAAATGCTGGCCAAGAGCATCTGCATGCTAAAGTTGCCAGAGAAAGAAGCAGTTGACCTCTGGTGTTTGTTTTGCAACTGACAGAGAACCAGAGGAAACTTTTCTGAAATGTTTGCTTCAGGGTACAGTGATGAAACTACTGTTGGCTTCTCTTAGAAAATCTGTTATATCTGACAGCAGAAAATAGCCCCTTTTGATTATAAAAAAATGAAGGAAGACTTTTATAATGTCAATAATAGGCAAAGCAATAACTTTATGCTTTTCTCTTTGCAGGTAGTGACAGGTACCCTGGCAGGAATGGCAAAGCCCATCCTGACTCTCAAACAAACCAGACTTCTCCCCCACAGCTGGGTAAGGAGTGAACATGGGTGAGGCCGAGAACAGCTTGGATGGTAGACATCATACACCAAATAGGGCTTTAATGCCAAATAGGCTCAATACATTTCTTTCTTAGAAGTGATTTCATTAGAAGAGGACATGTTATGGTGAGATAGGAAATAAGCATTTTAATGGAAACTAAAGATAAGGTCAAAGTAAATCACCAAGAACGATTGAGGAATAGTGAAAAAGGAGCAAAATTACAGTGGTTATCACTTTATGAATTTAAGTCCTTTCTTTTTTTAAGGATTTTATGTATTTATTTATTTGAGAGAGAGCAAAAGAGTGAGAGAGAAAGAGAGCATGAGCAGGGAGGGGGCAGAGGGAGAAGGAGAAGCAGACTCTCCACTGAGCAGGGAGCCCAATATGCGTCTCGATCCCAGGACCCTGGGCTTATGACCTGAGCCAAAGGCAGACACTTAACAGACTGAGCCACCCAGGCACCCCGAATTTAAGTCGTTTTAAAAGATCGTATGTCTTAGTGTGGCTACACTGCAGAAGCTTTACTAATAGATGAAAAGCAGGACTCTTGAGTGGACGTGTATGTTAATATTTTCATGGCAGCTGAGACGTGCTTAAAGAAGGTCTGTTCAGATTGTGAGGTAGCAACAGGAATCCCCACTCACTTGGTGGCACATACCCTAATTGCTGGCAATATATCAAGGAGAAAATAAATTGCTTCTTTAATTCCAAACCCAAACTGATAGAGGACAACGTCACAGACCTAGAACTTGAATGTATTGTCCTGCTGAAGACCAATTATAGGACATCTAGAATTAGAGTAATAAAGAACTTGGGCACTTCTCAAGGCTGCAGTTAGGACCCTGTCTCTAACCTGTGGATACAAGTGCCTGGCCTTGCTCTGCAGAGCTGTCACAGCCTGGGTAGGTTTATTTTGTGGGGTGAGCAGAGGTAGCCATGCCTCACTGGAAATGCTTCTTAAGTTGGTGTGTAGTGTAAGCGTTGAGTATTCCCATCAAGAAAGGAAAGATGAAATAATTAGAAATGGGGCATTTTCCCAAATGCTTCCAGGGAGCTTTGCTGTTTTCACCTGGGGACATAGGTTAATGCAGTTTTCCAACCAGCTGCACAGCTCAACCCAAACCCTGGCCTTTTAAGTACTCAGTGCTCACAAAGACAATAGATATTGGCACCTAGGGAAATACTTCGAGGTAATAGACCTCATTTAGGAAAAAAAAATTAAGAGAACATCTAACTATCTCTGAAGTGTTGATATGGAAATCCCAGCGTAATGTTATAATACCCTTTTTTTTCCTTTCCCTGATTCCTATTTGGACAGGCTCCAATGCCATGCAGCGAGAGTACAGTCCTACTTTATCTTCAGTAGAGACTTCAGGAGCCCAGAAGACAAATAGTCCCTACTGAGGGGGTCATGTATTTTGGGCGGCCCTCTGGATTGAGGTCAGTTGTTACGAAGGAGACCAGAAAGGCAGAGGGGGCTGCTTTGCTTTTTGAAAGTAAAGCTAATGACTCCCTTGCATTGTGTCGTGTGTGTGGTTATGTGATCTTCTTTCTGAGGCTATGTGTATGCATTTGTGATTTTATGCATATCTCCTTAACTTAGGGAAATAGCAAATGCAACTTGAGCTAGGAAGTCCTCCAATCTTGGGTTCTGTTTCTAGCTCTTTTTGACTTTATAGAATGACCTTTTTACTGGACATTGACACATGCTGTTTGCTGGCTGTTCCAGTACGTTATGGGTAAAGCTAATAAAGTATAATCACAACGTCCTAAAAATGTCAAGTTGCTGCCCCTTGGGCCTCTCATAACTATTCTCATCTGCAAAATGGAGCTGGTAACTCTGCACCCTGCCTTCCCTGCACAGATGTTGGGAAGCTAGGCTAAAGAACATCTGTAAAGCAGTTTTAGATTTTGGAACATGGGAGTAATAAATGACCATAACAGCTATTTATCATGCAGGAGGAGATGACGATATATTCTATATTTCAAGCTCCACTTCTCTCATCTACTTGAAAATAGTTTTGCATGATTGAAGCCATTAGTTAAGAAGGAGTAAGTGTAGGCAATGCAAACTAAGGCAGGGGATTATGACCTAAAAAAATGCCATTGGAGGTGAAAAGTAACTCTGAAAGGATGTGGAAGTACATATTCATGAGCTGAAACGATCAGTGTAGCTTTAAAAATGAAAAGAGTGCTATTGAGTTTGATGCAGGATAAGTGAGGAATGGCAGGTGCCAAGATTCTGGGACTCGTCTTGGCAGTGACCCAAGGCATAACTGGGGTCTGCTGTGGTATCTTTACTACGTCAGGGATGACTTAGCCAGGAAGGTCTTAAGAAGAAGAAGATTGTGTCCTGAGTAAATATCACAGAACTCAACAAAGGTTAAATCCTAGAGGATCATGGAAAATATCGGTATTGACCAACTGGCTAATATTTTGATTAAACACTTTTTCTTTTGGCGTCCATCCAAGAAGAGGCAAAACAATTATTTTCACACAAGTCGGTAACCTTTGGGGAGAGAGAGGTCTTGCTAAAAATGGTAAAGTCCGTTGTTTTATCTCTCTGGGCTTCATGGTCTTGTGTGTGCGGTCCTCAAATATATGCCAAGTACAAATGTTTATATCAAATGTACCCAACTCAGTGCCTTGTTGCTTCCAAGACGCTGAGGTGAAAATGGTGTCTGTCCTCAAGGAGCTTGCAATTTAGTAGGTGATTTAAGACTTTCATAATCTATTGACTTCTCTAATTAAATTAATATTGTCTCCTGCCCCTTTCCTCCAACCCCACTGACTTGATCAGAAGGTCCAATATCATCCTCTCCAGCATCCCTCCCTTGTACCCCGAACCTTTTAAAACTCCTCCAAGGAGGCCCTTCTGACACCAGCTGCAAACAGCTGGGGATCCTGTGTCTGTGCCTTGGCTGCCACGGTCCCTGCCCCTGCCATAGCTCCTCGCTGCCACAAGGTGCCGCTGTTGAAGGCCACTGTGGCTTTTTTCCGGAGGGTAAATTCTAGCTGATTCCACTTCTTTTTTTTTTTTTAAAGATTTTATTTATTTATTTATTTGAGAGAGAGTGAGAGAGAGAGAGAGAGCGTGAGAGGGGGGAGGGTCAGAGGGAGAAGCAGACTCCCCGCTGAGCAGGGAGCCCGATGCGGGACTCGATCCCGGGACTCCAGGATCATGACCTGAGCCGAAGGCAGTCGCTTAACCAACTGAGCCACCCAGGCACCCGCTGATTCCACTTCTTAAGAGTTAACGTCTTGTGGCCTTTTCTTCTCACTAGGTTCCTAGATGACAGGCCGTAGTGCCCAGTCCTTGGGCGGGGGCGGGTGGTGGTGGTGATTCACACAGCCCTCTCTCTACCTCTGAGGAGCTCTGCCGGGAAGTCCAAGAGTCAGCTCCTTTTTCCAATCCTGAGAACCTACTCCAGAGGTTGGTCAATTTTCCTTTCAACCCCAGAAACACCAGGGGTTCTTAGCAGTTCCTCCATTCACTCGCTACCTCCCTTTAAGAAACTCCTTGCCTCTAAGATGTTTCTAGACCTCAAATGATTGCTTTTGGTCACTTATGGGAAATGTCTTTTCTATCTCAGGATGAGCCATCTTGCGAAGAATGGACAGAAATAAGCCCCAGCTCCCCTCTTGCTAAAGCAGTGAAAAAGGAAAACATCGGTGTATCTTCAATAGGACACTCCACTACACATATAAAGAAATAATTAAAACTAGGCAGAATGCTGTAACTGATAAGAGAATTACAAAGAAATAATGATGGAGAATTAAAAAGAACACAGATCAAGCTACATTGGCGTCAACCTGGAGTAATCTGGGAAGACCAGATGGGGGGAGGGCAACATTTGTGTTGGTCCTTGACTTGCAATAGGATCTCGACAGGTGAATGTAGTAGGGAATGGTGTTGCAAACAGAGAGGGTAGAATAAGCCAACCCACAGAAGTAGAGGAAAACGATGTCCTAGTTGATGGACAATGGTGGGGAGGTAGCGGTGGTGACAGGGAGCTTTGTGTGCTGCAGTGTGGGGGGGCCACCAGGGGAGACATGGGGAATTGAAGCCTGGGGCTCAGAATACCCCACTAAAGAATACAAACCTGAAAAAGACCAGCACTCTGTTTTCCTTTCCCATTGCCGTATCTCTTCTTGGACAGCTCAAGTCACTTGTCAATCAACGAATAAACAAAGAAACTAGAAGAGTCAAAAATAAAATTGAAATTAAGTTGTCTTGATGTAGCCAATCTTACATTTTTATGAAAAACAACAACCAAACTCCCAAAGAAAAAAGTTGAACATGTAGCTTTAGGTAAGGTGAAATAGAATGTTTGGGGAATTTCAATAAGCCACTGAATTAATAAGTCTACTTTTCTCTATTTTCAAACCATTTTTGAGTTGTGTAAACAGTCAATACTTCACTGCTATGTCCTTGAACTGAGTCCTTTTTGTTTTCAGAAAGAGGCATTTAGAAGAAAATGACACAGAAATTTCTTCCTTAAACCACCTTGTTGAAGTTTCTCCAGGGACCAAAGTAGATGACTTGTAAATTCCTTTACTCTTAAAATAAAAGGCATTTTTATAAAAGAAAAGGTGATGGGTACAGCAACACCGACTCAGGAGGGAAAACAGTCGCAGGGAAGATGTCATTTATTCTCTTCTTCATGGGGCAAAACCATCTTGCATTCAAAAGCCTCCTAAGAGGAAGATGGCGTTTATAGGTTAAAAACAAAAACCCTCTTACAACATTTTTTAAGACTCGTAGGAATCAAGAATTTCACAGGGAGAATGGTACCATCTTATACTGTACAGGTCTGTAAACTGTTTTCAGCGTCCTTTTCCACCCCAGCTTCTCATTTGTCCCTCGCTGAAGTCTCATGGAAAGAGGCCCGGCGTGGATTCTCAACTATACAGTTGACAAAGCCAAGGCCTGGAGTGGTAACAGACCGAACCAGTGTTATCACTGGGTGGAGTGGGAAGGCAGATTTGGAGATGGGTTCTCTGCAAGCTCACCTAAGCACACTCTTTCCTCTACTCCCTGCTGACTGTCGCTTACTGGATGGAAAAATGCCTTGAGGGTGGCGATTGTGTCTTAATTATCTTCTGATCCTTCCGCAGTGCCTTCCACACAATAGGTGTTCAATAAATGTTAATTAAATAAACGCTGTGAACCCCAAAGTCTAAATGGCTCTAAGTTAGATTTTCAAAGCTTTCTGGGCCCTCACACATTTTTATTAAAAAAAAAAAAAGAGAAGAAAAACCTTTGCTTCCTTAATCTGGCAATTAAGAAAGAAACGATTAGTTCATTTCATTCCCTAGGATATTTGGAAACAAAAAATTGAGAGCTATAAGGAGGATGAAGTTTTCCCTCAGAATAAACAGCAAAAATGAATGGCTCTAGAATACAATTTGGTCTCTTGTTGACACACGTCTGTTCCTCCTAGCTCGTGGGTTTGAAAATGACCTTTCTTAGCAAGAGCTGGACATGAATAGCCTTCTTTTTTCCAACCAGTTCCTCTATTTCCTGAAGTCAGTTGCCATGTGTCCTTTGACAAATGAGTTGCAGGAGTGTGCACTTTCCCTTGAAGAACATTTTCTCCTGTAGTTTTCACTCTCGTCCATATGACCAATTTTTCGTCTTTGCCAAGTTGGGTGTAAATAAAACTCATGCCCTCAATAATTGTGAAATGGACAGTTTTTGGCGGGTTATATTTTTCTTTGAGTGGTTATGGGGAAGGGGAGGGGGGATGTGGTGGGCAAAGAGCTTGTCGTGGGGGATGAGCTAAGTTATGTGTGCATGGCAGGATACCAGGACACTGGGCTTGCGGTAGAAACAGTGATGGGCGTTGTAAGGCTGTACCTGTTGGAGGCTCTAATTAGCATTAGTCTTGTACAGCTGTCCTGGACATACGTCTACGGCTGTAGCCTTAAACTAAGCATCACTGAGGTTTCTACAATTTCTGTACTTATTCATTATCTTTTATTTTAAAATTTATTTTTAACAGGGCAAAGTAATAAAGTTAATAAGCCAATAGCAAAAACTGTTTAAGAAAAAAAAGAGAAGAAACACAAATGACCAATATTAGGATTCAAATCTGAGGCATTCTCTACAGAGCTTGTGGATGTTAAGAAGGATTTTGTGAAATACATAGGTCAAAAAATCTGACTACAGAGATAAAAATGCACAATGTTTTGGGGGAGGGGCCGGGGAAATAGGGGATGGGGATTAAAGAGTACACTTATCATGATGAAATAAAATGATTTAAAAAAGCACAATGATTAAAAAACTGTTTTTATAAACTAACACAGGCTTATAAAAACTATAAGCAACTAAATAGAACCAATAATTCATTTTATTTTTAATAGAGTTTATCATGCACATTATAGGAAATTTTGAAAAAGCAGAAGAAAATATGTATGCCAACCTCTCTACCCAAAACAATTTGAAAACACTTTTTGTCTCATTTTTCTTAGGCGTAGATATTAAAGAGTTTCATACAAGGTTGTTATCATGCTGTGTAAATAATTTAGTTAATTGTGATTAGATGCCTGCATCTGGAAATAGAGTCCCAAACAACGTAAAGTTCTTGTTCTCCCTGTTCCCAGTGCATAAATCTGGTTGCCTCTTTCAGAATAGATAGATAGGGAGGAAATTCTGGGCTCACAGGGTATGTGTTAAAGGAGAGGCAAATTTAAGCTAGGGTGCGGGGAGGAAAATTTTCTTATTCACCCACCTACCCTCTGTTTAGTTTATAATTATTTTGCTTGTTTGTGGTTTCCTGCAATCACAATGCAATGAACTCCTAAGGAGAGACCTGGGTGCATAACCCGGAGCACTTGTTGGAGGCAGTGTTGACTAGGATGGGAGGAGTCCTGGGCCTGCAGAGCTGAACTAGAGTCAGTTCACCTCAGAATCTCTGTGTGCCCTGGAGAGCCCCTCAGAAGCACAGTTGAGATGAGAGGCACTTGGGCAGCCCCGGCTGGGAAGGTTTGATTTGATTTTAAGTGTCTGACCTTGGGAACTCTTACCCATAGAGAAGCCCAGACAGAACTCCTTCTGCTACTTTGGTTTGAGCAGACACAGTTGATTCCTTCAACTGCCTGGCACCATAATCAACCAAGGGCTTATTCTCCTGGTTCCTGTTCTTATAGAACTTACACTCTGGTGGGGAAGCCATATCTGAAATAATCACAAACAAATAAATGTATTTCTCTAAGGTGTTATACAGTTTAGCTGTTAGGGAAGAAACGTTTCCTGTACTTACAGGGTGATCTGAAAACATATAATAAGGAAAATCATTAGCCTGGGGTGGAGAGGGCTGGAAAGTTTGCCCCAATGAAGTTACCACTGAGCTGTGTTCTGAAAAATGGGGAGGAATTAGTAGGTAAAGGTGGTGTGGGAAGGAGAGTGTGGAGATGTTTCTGATAAATGGAGTGGCAGGTGTGCAGGCCAAAGCACAGAGAAGCAGGTCATTACCTCTGCTGGTCACCCAGGCATGGTTGGCATCCTTAGTGGGCAGAGTGTGGGCCAGACCAACTTATCTCAGTTTTAGCATTGGAAATCCCATATACAGGGAACTCCTCAGTCCCATACAAACTCAGAGAGTTTGTTGGTAACCCTGAAAGTATCCTCTGCCCCTAAAATGAAGAAAACTTCTGAGTGTCAAATGTTGTTGGGTTCAGCCTTGTCCTGCTGTCTGCGGGCCTTTATTAGGCTATCAGTACTTTTGGAAAAAGGCAATGTAGTTAGTCACTCACTTTTTGGTATAAATTGGCTTATTTAAAGTCTAAATTCTTTACCAGTTATTCTCTGGCCAGTGAAGTTACCGTGAGACCTGGAAGGGAATGGAAACACAAGAAGATGTTTTTAACATCCAGAGGAAAAAATAAGGGAGTGATGAAGACTTGCTTGGCCTACATCATGATTTTGCCTGTGACTAGGTTACCTTAGGTCTACATTCACTGTGCCTTGACTTTTATCTATGAAATGGGAGTAGCAGTAACCCTTGTTCAGGTAAGGAGTCCCAAAGATGGTGGGCCCGTGGCATCCTTGGTTAATGCCATCTGATGGCAAGGATCTTTGTCTTCTGTTCTCAGCTTCAGGGAAACCTTCTTCTCAAAGTTCTCTTGGTATCCATTTGTGAGAAGCAAGTCACACAGAGAATATAAGGGTCTTCCTGCATTTTCAGGAACCTGTGGACCAATCTTACATTAAGCTTCAAAGAGGGCCGATATGTGTATAGGACTCATGAAGCACTTTCACATGTATTATTGTCTTAGAACTATACAAAAAATCAAGGAGAACTAACAATCACCAGTATCTGTGTCTCACTTACTCTGTGACAAGTTCTATCCTGACTGCTTTAATTGAACCATGCCGTTTAATCCTCACAATAATCCGATGGGGCAGGTATTACTACCACTCATCTTACATATGAGAAAGTGAAGGCTGGAAAGCTTGAGTGACTCATCCAAGGTCATCTAACTATTACATGCTGCAGTCAGGAGTTGAATCAGACACGGTGGTGCTGGAAGCAGCTACAGCTGAGAAGAGAGCACTGTTAGCACTCTCATTTTATAGTGGAAGAACCTGAGGCTCAATGTCCTTGGGGCCTATGGAAACACTTGGTGTTATAAAGGGGCCAGACCTCAAGAAACTCAGGGTCCCTACATTAGAAGGGAACTCGGGGACAGCTCCCCCCTCACCCCCTGCCTTTTGTTCAAGATGACATATGCCTTTTGTTTTATATAAAGCAGCCAGCTGCCAGGGTAGGGAAAATCAACCCAAGTTTCATTGGAAGAGGAAGTGAGAAGGGAAGTCTTGGAAAGAGGAGAAAAGAGAGCAATTCCTACATTTGCAGTTGGGACCTCATAGACCAAAGAGAGGGTAGGCAAAGTAAGGTTGGCCCATGGCTGTAGAGCAGAGAGGATGTGGCCTGGGATGGGGGCAGTGGACCTGAGGAGAAGCACTGAGGTGGGAAATAAAATCAATAGTTTCATCCTGTGTCTTGAGTTTAGTTTGTGTGGACATAGCTCCCCTTCCTCCCCTTGGTTGATCAGTGGATGAGGGAAAGACCTTGGTAGAGCACTGAGTTAGAAGGGAACTTGATTCTGGAACTTTGGAGTCCAGAAGCACATCAGAGTGACCCTATTCCTGAGTTTGGCAGGAATTTAACCTGCAAATCTGGCAGGTCAGTTGCAGGTAATCCCCAACCCTCTCCTATGAAATCTCTTTGGAAATTCACTGTCCAGGCCATGGCTTCTTTGTCACAAGAAAACTCTCTTGCTCTTTTTAGTCTGAACATTTGGTGGCTGCTTAGATTTGACAATCCTTGATATTATCCTACCTGAATTTAATTAAGGAGAGAAACCTTGAGGAAAAAAAAAGGATAAGTTGTTTGGACATGAATTCTGTAATATACTGGGTATAATTTGGAGACTAGCTACTGTTGTGAATTGTCCAGACCATTAACATGGAAAATCGAGAGTTGGGTGTATAGTCACTTAGAGAGTCCTGGTGAATAAATATTTGGTTCACTTTCTGTAGCTATGTTCTGGTTTCTGACTTCCATTAATGAAAGATATGTGAGTGAATGAATGGCTAACCTCTGCTCAGTTTGGTCACTTGTAGACTGGATCGTATAGCGCTGTTTTCAGGTGAAGCCAATCCCTCTGTCCCCGTGGAGTTAACTGATTTGTCCAAAGTAAACTCTCAGAAGCATAATAAAAGGCTGTGTTCCAGGTTTACAGACTCTAGGTCCTAAGGACTTTAGAGAGCATTTGATTGCCACCAGGAGACACCTACTAAGAGTTCCCCAAGTGTTCTCTAGGAAGAAATGCCTCATCATTTAAGGAGATGCCTCATTAGACCCTTTTGCCCTTTGCTCTTTTCATTTGTGTTTCTTTTCTTTTCTTCCCTTTCCAAAAAGAAGCTAAGTGAAGTTTTTTTTGCATTCCTCCTTGGTGTTGCGTACCTGCATGCTTGTGGGGAAGAAGGCGAGAGAGGCAGGGGGAGCCTAAGTGGAAACAAATGTGAAGGTGACCGTTGGCTGGTGCCGTGGAATGAAATTCCAGGAGGCAGACAGGCGGCCCGTCCAGGGACAGTGGAATCCGTTGAGAACAGGCATTAGCTCTGACATTTGGATAAAGGATTGTCAGGATTTGCTTTCCTATTTTTCACCCCTCTGCCAGAATTGTGTTAGTACTTTTATTCTTCATGAAGCCCTTAATTTTTAAACACCTACTGTGTGCAATGCAGCCCACTGTTTGCAGGGGACCTCAGCTTAGGATGGTTAAGGGTTTTATTTTCTTTTTTAAAAATAATGTTGTGTGGTCTTGAGACAGAGTGAATAGTTCAGCTAATAAATTCCCGAGACCCTTCAGCACAGAGGTGAGAGCCCCATCCCTCACACATGCCTCCAACTCTTGACCTGTGCAGCCCTTTGCCACCCTGTAGCAGAGCCTCTTCATATTAATACCAATTTATCATTATTCCATTTAAATGCTCTTTTTTTTTGGTCCAAGAGAAAGAGACAGAAAACATCTGCATATCGAGTAATATTAGCTACAGTTGGTGTCTCAAGTGAGAATCAATCTGACAGCCCCATTTATTATATTGGGGTAGGCTTTATTATGGAGACTCGTGCACTTGAACTTTCCCTCTACAAGATATGAAAGAGTCTCTGATGTATTCATATCTT